TAATCCCAGTGATTGGGCAGGATGAGGCAGGAGGATTGCAAGTTCAAGGACAGCCTCAGCAACTTAGCAAGACCCTGTCTCAGAATAAAAAGGGCTGAGGATGTAGCTCAGTGGTAGAGTACATCTGGATTCAATCCCCAGTAAAAAATCAATCAATCAATCCATCCATCCATCCATCCTARATGTAAAATTACTGAGACAGTAGTATGAGCAGTAGTTTAAGGCCCGAATATTTATTGGCAACTTGCTTCCYAAAACATGTGACAACAGCTTACATACCTATCATCAAAAGAGTGGATCTATGATAGAAATCTTCAATATTATCTTTTTTCAACATGAAGCAATAATACAAGAAGAGATTTATTCAAAGTATTTGAGGGAGTCAGTATCATAACTCTTAGAATTAGGACAGTAAATTAAAACAGTAGAAAAAGGCCTGAGTTATTGGGAAAATGAATAAATCTACAGAAAGAAGAGTCCTCTGCTGAAATATCCAGGAGACTCCATAATCAAAATTTTTGAATATTTTCCTCTAAAGGAGAGATTAGTTTTTCCATTCATAATATATTACTTTGCATAAYGAAGAGCAATTTTAAAAATAATTATTCAGAATCCTATTTATGCTTTTATTTTCAGGAGCAATCATGTATTTCAACCAAGACACCCCTCATCTTTTAACTATCAGTGCCCACAATGAGTAAAAGATATTAGAATTGAAATTTTCCTAAGAATCTTTCAATGTTACAAATGCTGTATTTCACAACAGAATCCCAGACTCACAATAATCTTTCATGTACTGCTCTCTATGGTAAAGGTATAGTTTCTACTAATAGAGGACACTTGGTTTATAATAGAAACAGAAAACTTCATTCACTAATTATTTAATAATGACCCTGTTTACACACTACCTCTGCTATGACTGAGATAAGCATGTTGTGTACCTAACATTTTAACTATAAAGTGACCACACTAGAAAAAGAACGTAATCTTGACAAAGTTAAATTCCATTTCCAAAGGTACTCATGGGGAATAAATAAACATTCTGAACCTGGGTCATGTGATCTGGAATTCCGATCTGCATTTTTCATCATTGACACTAGAAAGATGAACCGTGTCTATCTGAATAGCTTTTTCAATCTGATGCCCTCTTTCCTGAATTATTCATGTAGGCATGGCTTTTGAATGTACAGATTCATATAGAACTTTAACCCACATCATACAACTTCAGAATAGAAGGACCACAATTTCCCCAAACCTCACAGCTAGTTGGTAATTGTGCGGATGGTGAACTTGGGTTCCAAGCCAAGTTCACCCCATTCTGCCTCACTCTCTGCTCTGCCTTGGCTGAGGTAACACATTTGACTGTACATGTCAGATTTCTCCTGCCAGAATACTCAATCTGTGAAAAGAATTAGAATCAGACCAATGAAAAGTTCTATTCCAAACCATCCTTAATATTCCATTCTGTCTTCCAGGATTCAAGGAGAGCAAAGCCAAATTTCAAAGTCAAAGAAACATATTTAGGACTTTTTAATACCACACATTATCATGTCAATTTCTACACTTAATTCTATTCATTATCATTATTTTTATTTAGGGCTTATCTTGTAGGGGAAATGCTGCCTTTTGAATAGGCAATCAATATCTCACCCCTCCACTGTAATACTCCCTTCCTTCTCTCCTCRTCCCTCTACCTCCCTCTCCCTCTCACTCACATGCATACACACACAAACACACATTTCCCATAGACTACTGGCAGACATACCACCAGGGATCTACAAAGAGTATCACCCATGCTACTGCTGATAGACAAATCTCCATTGGTCAGTTGTTGGGTTTTGTATGAAGCCAAGCCCCTCCTTCCAGGGCTGTAATGCCCTACCATGCCCTCARGACTAGGCTGCCCAGATATTATTAGTAAGGCCAGCCCAAAGCAAAGTTGAAGGAGGCAGAGTGTCCCTTCAGCCTACTCTTTTCTTCTAGTGTTTAGTGTCCTCTTTTATTCCAGTCTCCAGGTCTCTTACCTCTCCCACCAGCATCAACTATCTGAGAAACCCACCTCCTGTTTGATTGTCACAACAACTTTCTCAAAATGCTAATCCCTCCCAGGCAAATGGATCATTGAAGAGAACAATGGGCAGAGATTTAAATAATGTGGGTTCTCTTTCCAGCTACACCTTAGCTAAGCAGTCCTGTGGCTCTCTGGGACATTAACAGTGAAGAGGAAGGSGTGGCTTAGATCAACCATTTTCAGAGATTGTTTATTCTGAGCCATACTTTTGAAGGTCCAAGAAGGTTACAYTTTAAATTGGAATGAAGAGCCATCAATACAGCACCTGTACTTTGCTTGTCTTGATAAAGGAAAAATAAAGAAGTGAAATACTGGGGAGGGGGAGCCATCAAGCATAAGGAGTCAAGAAGTGCTGGAGACACATCAGGTATGGTGGCCTTGGCAGGTATACCCTGGCAGCAGCTCTTCCTGCCATGGATCTTGAGAACATGCAGTGGGGGCTCTCAGCCAACCATCAAGCTCTACACTCAGAGRCCTTACAGACCAACCTGCATTGCCCCCTGCTTTTAGGTATTTACCCAACTAATTTGTCCCTTAAACAAACACTTTAGCAAAAAGCCACTGAATGTTTGTCAAACACATATAATTTTGATGAGCCCCTTCTGATTTGTTGTGCTTTGTTTTAAATATCCAGCCCCAGAGTAAATTAGATTTTGAAAAAGAAGTCCTTTCACTGTAACCATCCCTATTCCAGAGCATATACAGAGAGAAAAGGAGGCAGATATCCACCAAATGACAGTGAAAAGGCAAAAAAAAAAAAAAAAAAAGGAGAGGGCACAAAGTGATCCATCTGGTRTAGTAGCTGCCAAGTATAGGTCATAAAAATGAAGCATCTACCAGCCTGTAAAAGCTACTGGGACAGGGACACTTCAACTCTTAAAATCCATTCTAGACACCTAGTTTTGGGGGGTTGCTATAACAAAAATACCATAGGCTGTGTGGTTTAAACAACAAAAATTAAGCCAAGTGTGGTGGCACCTGCCTGTAATCTCAGCGATTTGGGAGGCAGAAGAATTGCAAGTTTGAGGCCAACATCAGCAATACAGAGAGGCCCTAAACAACTTAGAGAGACCCCATTTCAAAATAAAAAATAAAAAGGAATGGGGTGTAGCTTAGTGGTAGAGTGCCCTGGATTTAATTCCCAGGAGAGCAAAAATAAATAAATAAATAGATAGATAAATAAATTATCAGTTTTGGAAACTGGAAGCCTAAGACCTAGATGCCAGCATTGTTGGGCTCTGGCAAAGGCTTTCTTCCTGATTTRTAGATGGCCACCTTCTCGGTCCTCACACCATAGAGAGTAAGAACAAGCCGACTCATAAGGGCACTTATCTCATGATGACAGCCCCACCCTGATGATCTCATTTAAACCTCCAAAGTCCTCATTTCCAAACACCATCACTTTGGTAGTTAGGGTTTTAACATATGAATGGGGGTTACAGTTCATTCCATGGCAGAAAGCCTCAATAAATTTTGTGAAATACAAGCCATGGGTGGATAAATGAACTGAGGAAATAAAGTAAGCAATGTGTGATTGAGGTAAATCTACCTGTTATATAGCATTTTAAGGAAAATAGGTGCTTTTAGCAAAATCAGCCAACAGRTAAACATCACAGGGCAGTAGAACAAGCAAATTCTATTGGTGGTGTTTTCTCCCAGCCAGGGGCAGCTGATCCACCCAACAGCTGTGAAGCATATATAAGTGGATACCATTGGAAGGAGACAAGAGGTTAGTTCTGACCCAAAGAAATGCAAGGGCCAAGTGCCCACCTGGGCTGGAATGTCAACTCCTGGAGCTCCTCACACACACCTGTCTCACCCACATTTGCTTCTCCCATACCTTGTCCTTTTTTCAGCATATGTTTAAGGCTGTGTGCACTATTCTGGTTTTTGTTTATCTAAATAAAACTTATGAGTTTGAACTTTATGAAAATGTTTAGGAAGGAAAAAGAAAATTAGAATATCCTCAGGAGCTTGTTAACTTTGTCTTGTAGCCATCCACAGAGTGKATACCACCCAAAATGGAAGGTGTCCAGAGTGGGAGCTTCTGATTTAGAGGCTATATGCTGGCAACCAGAGGGCATGAGGGCTAAAAATTACATAGGACCCCTCCAGTTTCAATTTATGAAGTCTGCATTTTATTATCTGGCAAGTAATTTGAGAAAAATGTTATGACAAATAACTGCTTATACTTATAGTGGCAATTAGAAGAGAAGACAYATGAAATGTCTTTGGACCATAAGCCAGAGTACCCTGACATCCACCATCAAATTAAATGATCTAATCACAAGAGCAAAGGAATTCCTGCTTTAGCTCATTCATTCATACTTATTCATTTTACAGACACTAAATAAACACCTATGCCGTACACCATAAGAACTACAAAAGGTGAACAAAACAGGGCTCTTAAAATAATCTTTTTTTTTCCCACCTTAGGATTTGAAAGTAGGTTTCTCAAGGGGTTGATTAATTTATATTATTCCTCTAAAAATATCTAAAAGAATTAGTAAAGTGTGTGGGATAAGACAGATGAGACTTCAAATCCAAGCTCTGCTACTTAGATGTGTGTTATTTGGCACATTTCTTAACCTCTCTAAGTTTTAGTTTATGCATCTATTAAGTACAAATGATAATACCAAGCTCATAGGATTGTTGAGCTTTGCTCTAAAGAAAAACAGGCAAGTAGACTACCCAGAGCACAGTGGGATTTGGAAGGCATCTATGCTCAGCACTGTGCCAACAATGCAGACGCATGGTGGGAATTGAATGAGATTAGTTGGTYTTTCTGGTCATTTGGCTGTTGGTTTGTACTGGGTCTTGGACAACTGTGTGCTCCTCACAAGACACACAGCATCCTTTTGTATGTACCACTACTGGTGAATTTGACCTCATCCTCCCAACTCAGTTTGACTAATTGACATTTTATGGACTATAGCTGTTGTCCTTTGCTTTCACCACCTGCCAATATAAAAAATTCAAGTAAACAAATTGAGACTTTATAAAGTTTTTTTTTTACATTACTACTAATAAAAGTTAATATTTATTGACTGAGGCTAACGAGGTTCTAGGTACTATTCTAAGTGTTGTATATGTGTTACCTCATTAAATTCTCATAAGGGCTCTATGAGGTAGGTGCTATATTGTGCTTGTTTTTACAGCTGAGTAAATTGAGGAACAGAGAGGGTAAGTAGTTTGTCAAAAGGTCTGCTTCTAGTAAGAGAGGAAGAAAGGATTTTGACCAGGCAGCCTGGGTCCAGGGACCAGCATCTTAACCATTGCTATGCTGCCTCTGGCTGAGGGACTCAGAAGTAGTGATCATCAAGTGGTATTGCCACGTACCATCACAAGAGATGTCAAACTCTTCAGCTACTTAATTGGATCACAAAATGCTAGGAATTCATCATAAGTGTATTTGATAAGTTACAGTAAAAAAAATCATACCTCAATTACAAATTGCTTTGATTACAAAGCAACACAGCTTTTTCTATAAATTTTGGAAGGCAATGTTCCTGGTTTATGTGAATTCCATGAACACAATTCATTCCCTCAGTATCACTGAGTGGCAGGCACATACAATGTTGTAGTGATGCAAAGACAAGACAGATGAGTCCTGCCAGTGAGCAACTCACAACCCAGGAGGGAAGAAAGACACATGTAAAGAGGTGAGCTTGGTGTGAAGTATTGTGAACATGCAGACGTGAAATAAATATCCCCCAAGCCCCTTTACTTAATAAGGAACAATTCACTTCTCAAGTTCTGGAATATCTTTCATGTGGGTCCTSATGAGCACATTTCTTCATTCCTTCCACAAGAATTGAGCCCCACTGAGCCAGCCCAAGACATAACCTTTCCTCTTCTCGGTTGACCTCAAGCCTCCCTCTCCTGTCACCCAATACTCTCAATGCCTTGCTTTCTAGAATAATCAACAAGGTCTTTCYGTAGGCAGGACCTCTACTATGTTATAGATTACTTCAATGCAATCATGCCCACTGGGTAGAAAAGGAACACTGTGAGGTCCCTCTCCTTCAACACATAGTTTTATGACCATTTAAATTCACCAGGCTTGGGTTAATAAAAGTCAACATTATTCCCAATCTCAGAGTTGGTTTTGCACAAAGGATGGCGAGAAAAGTAAAAAATTTTACTAATATTAAAAGATTTCTTTTAAAGTTTCAGTTTTAAAATGATGAGAAGAGAATATGGGGGTGGAAAGAATGTCTTTTTGTTTCATGATAAAACCAGAAGGAATAAAATTCCTTTGGTTTTGAAGAAAAAAAGGAAGCATAAAAAAGAATAACACCTGCAAAGCAAACTTTTAAAAGACAAATTTTAAGACAGTTCATATAAATGGGTATAACCACTTTGGAAAATGTATCTACCAAAAGTGACCATTTGCTATAATCCTGTGATCTGACAAATCATTCCTATAATATATACTGAAAGAGAGGAGAGGAGAGAAGAGAGGAGGGGGRATAGGATACATGCATATATTCTCTAAAAGACATATCCTAGAATATTCACTGAAGCTTTTTTCATAATTGCCCCAAATTGGAATTTACTCAAATGCCCATCGAGAATTTAATGCATTTATTTTGGAATATTCACAAATGGAATTCTACATGCCAATGACWGATCTATAATTACATGCAACAATACAGATGGAACTCAAGCATAATTTTAAATGAAAGAAACTAAGTACATGACACATAATCCCATTTATATAAAGTTGAAAAATAGTCAAAAGTTATGTATGCTGTATGAAGTCAGAATAAGGGTTATTGAGTAGGGGGAAGAAAGCAGGCATTCGGGGGTACTTCTGGGGTATTTGTAATGTTTTTGCTAATCTGAATACAGGTTACACAAGTCTATTGAATTTATGAAAATTCATCAAACTGTACACATGTAATTATAACAATATATGTACTTTTGCATATATATTTTGCTTCCGTATTTCTTTGAATCTGTGAGATTTAGAATCATAAATTACATCCTTTCCTATACTTTTTAAACATGTAAAGAATACATAGGTGAAAAAAATCTGTAAAGAAACATGTATATATTTTATAGTTAATTTTACAACTTAGGTGAATTTAACTTTTCTATGAGTACTTTCAGAAGCTAGGTCAGTCCAGTAGGATATTTATTCAGATTTGCTGGGCTAATCATATTKCTTGGTGTTATGATCATTACCTTCGAATCAGGAGTTGGGTATGTTTATTATGGAATAGATCACAACTTACAACATTTACCAAGATGTAAGAGAGCACTGACAGCAAGAATTCAATGCTTTTGTGAAATCTGCAATCAGGCTCAATTTTGAGGCTTTTGCACCCTCACTACTTCCATATTATACTTTTCCAAGAAATTCTGTGTGTCAACTTCAGATACTTCAATTTTGGCTTGCTCACCAATTTAGACTATGGTCTGTTAATCCTTGTGTTAAGAGGAATCAGAGCTAAATCACTGGCTTTATATCCAACATCTAAAACTGAGTGTGTCAGTGCTTTGAAAATGAGGATATTTTTACTTTTAGTAATAATGTTCTGCTGTTTCAAGCACAATTATTGTACTTATCTTATTTCCTTTAAAACCTGAACCACAAACCTCATAAAAACTAATTCTATGTTGGTTCTGTGCATAAATATTAACGAGGGTCTTGAGCAGTCCCTAATAAACTTATTCTAGGAAAAATTTGTGCAAAATATTTACAAGTTCCTGGACCAGCAACTTTGATCTATTGTTCAGATACTTCATTTTTTTTTTCCTTTGTTGATCCAGGGTCTTTCTATGTTGTCCAGGTCTTGGACTAATGTAGCCTCAGCCTATAGGCACATGCCACCATGCCTGGATTAATTCTCAGACACTTTAAAATATATGTTGGCATATTTTAACTGTCTTTCAATGATATGATAAAATCAAATTTTTGAAAGAAAAATTCTAACAGCAAAAATTGTGATTAAATCCATTTTATCTAACCTCTTACTGCTAAAAACCTCTTTTAGTTGTCAGTAGGGCTAAAAATATAATTTATGTTTTCAATTTAATTCACCCATGAATTACCTTATTTTGTTTTATACCTTTCCTAGACCAYAGTCTGTTCTTGTTTGAGATGCTGAAAAAGCTGGAGAGCTAAACTCCCAAGGGATTGCTCTCAGTATACATATTTATTCTCAGCATGCATACTTTCAGTTAATAGTATTTATTAAGTACTTCCTAGGTCTCTAGAATAAACATCCCTTCCAATCCTTACAATAACTCAATATTTTATTAACTAYATTTGCTAATGAGGCTAAGGTACAAATAATTATTTACCTAGAGTCCCAACACTTGTGAGCCATGAATTCACTCCTAATTCCAGTCCTGGCACTATGACACCACAGCTATTCACTTTGCTACTTCCATCTATTGATAAGAACTTGGGTATGAAGGCAATTCAGCCTACACAGTACTATGAAATTGCCCTTGGTGTAGAGTTTGCTAATATTCCACTTCTGCCTTCTAGACTGTAATGAAATTTCTGGCTCTATCCTTAATTGTAGAACAGTCTTTACTGCTACTCATTTAGAGCACTCTTAYTTTCTTTTACAATATAAAAGAATGGGAGATTTAGATTTTTTACCATCCCACAAAGGAACTTGGGATCAAGATTCAGAACCCTGAATTATGATGCATTCTTAAAGGGGTCTATTGCTGGCTGAATGCATAAATGGCTTGCAATTGAAGCACCATAATAGATTCACAAGATAACTAAAGAACTGATAGGACATACACTCCCAAGACAGCACAAAACAAAAATCTTGAGATTCTTAGGAGTTTTAAGTACACAAAAGTCAAAATTTATCAACTTATAAATTGTTTTTTGATTTACATGTAWACACAAAATCCCATTTCAAAAAATTTCAACCTAATTAGAAAAACTAGACACTGTGTATTCTCTAAAATTTATTTACAGTTAATAAGTTAAAAAGCAAAGTACAACCAAATTGTAAATCTTAATCATATGCACATTAAACTGTCCAGGGAAACACTTCAGTTCCACTACAAACAATTGCTTTCTAATGCAATTAAG